CCTTTCTCTCTGAAATCAATAAAAATATATTTTTAGAAAAAGAACACCAAACAAAAATATGCTAAGTATTTCATAAAAAGAAAATACATGAAGCAAAAAAGAAATTTTTAAAATAAAGACAGAGCACTGACCAAAAAAGAAGAATTGATAAAAATGAACTGTTCCCAAGTTAAAAACATTTGTTCATCAAAAGACATCACTGTTAAAAGCCGAAAAAATGGCGACCAGCAGGAAGGTAGGGAGGGAGAGAGTGTGAGAGTGCAAGGAAGTGATAGAGGAGTGTGTGGACGTGTGTGGTGTGTGTGTATGAGCTAGGGACAGCTAGATTCTGCAGGTCTTCTAAGGGGCTGCTAAACCGGGCAGTCTTAGGCGGCGGAGTCCAGCTCCCGGCGCGGACACTCCTAGGCGGCCAGCCCAGGCACAGCGACCACGCCATCTTGGGAAACAGAGCTGCTTGAGACTAGGATCCTGGCCTCAGCACCACCCAGTCTGATCTCAGACGCATACCAGGACCCTGCAGCCACTGGGGACAGAGACCTGCGACCACAGCTACAGACCTGCGGACACCAAAAGTTCGGAGATCCCCGCGGCAGATCCGTGAGTAACAGAGCCCATCCCCCCTTCCCACAGGCTCGGGGGCAGCATCATAGTAACTGATAGACCCGCCCCTTGCCGGGGCCTCAGCGCTGCAGGAACTTTGGCCTGGAAGTGCGCGAGCACCTTGGAACTGATCCTGCGCGCACTTTGGGCTTCGGAGCCCTGGGCTGGGAGCAATCGCGCGAACGGGAATTTGTCTGCCTAGCACAGGCCCAAGGATCCCTTTTCTCGGGGCAGGAGGCAGCACCAAGCACCAGTGACTTGACTGTGTTTCTTATCACCTGCGCCTGAGATCCTGATTCCCTGTGCATTCATACTAAGAGCCAGTGAATCCAATTCCTGGTGCAAGGGCACACAGGGACCCTGATTCTCAAGGCGAAGTCGCGCAAAGCAACAGAGACTCTGATACTGGACTCTTGGGGAACTCTGACTCCTGGCGCATGCTAGGGGGCTCTGGTTTTCAACACGCTCCAGGGGGGTCTCTATTTCAGCACGGTGCATGCAGGGTCCCTAATTCTAAGGGCACATACGAGGCCACATTGAGCGCTGGCAACACTGACTCAGAGCGAGCCTGGTTCCCACCAACCAACAACAACCACACATCTTAGTGTCAGAGCTCTTCAGTGACACTAAGGTGGTGGGAGGCTCCCACTGCACACGGCCCAGGCCCACGCAACCCGACCTTTGATCCATCGGGAGATAAGCAGAATGAAGAAACGACACAACACCCAGAGGAAAGACAATGAGGAATCACCAAGAAAGGAAATTAATGAAGTTGAAGCGTGCAACATGACAGAAAAAGAATTCAGAATAATGGTTGTACAATTCATTCACCGGATGGATGAGAAAATCAACAACCTATGCAAGAATCAGGAAGAAATGAAAAGTGATATAGCTACAATCAAAAACACCATGGAAAGTTTCAACAGCAGGCTGAAAGAAGCAGAGGACCGAATTAGTGAGTTAGAAGATAAGGCAGAGAAACAAGCTCAATCTGAACAGCAACTGGAGAAAAAAATTAAAAAACAGGAGGAGAGCCTAAGGGAGCTTCGGGACAACATGAAACGAAGTAACATACGCATAATAGGGCTGCAAGAGGGACAAGAAGAGCAGCAAGGATTAGAAAATCTATTTGAAGAAATAATGACAGAAAACTTCCCAGATATGGGGAAGAAAAAAGTTACACAAGTACAGAGAGTCCCAGGCAAGATGAACCCCAAAAGACCCACACCAAGACACGTCATAATAACGATGGCAAATGTACAAGACAAAGAGAGAATCTTAAAGGCTGCAAGAGAGAAACAGAGAGTTACCTACAAAGGATCCCCCATCAGATTATCAAACGATTTCTCAACAGAAACACATCAGGCCAGGAAAGAATGGACAGAAATTTACAAAGTGATGCAAAGCAAAGGACTGAATCCAAGAATACTCTATCCAGCAAGGCTATCATTCAAAATTGAAGGGGAAATAAGAAGCTTCACAGACAAAAAAAGGCTAAGGGAGTTCATCACCACCAAGCCAGCAATGCAAGAAATGCTAAAGGGACTGGTGTAAAAAGAAGAAATAAAAAGCCCAGAAAGAAAACAGCCACACAAAAAAAGAAATGGCTACAAACAAGTACCTTTCAATAATAACTTTAAACGTAAATGGACTAAATGGTCCAATCAAAAGACATCGAGTGGCTGAATGGATAAAAAAACATGACCCATACATTTGCTGTCTACAAGAGACCCACCTCATTAAAAGGGACTCACACAGACTGAAAGTGAAGGGATGGAAAAATATCTTTCAGGCAAATGGAAATGAAAAAAAAGCTGGGGTAGCAATACTTATATCCGACAAAATAGACCTCAAAGTGAAGGCCATAACAAGAGATAAGGAAGGCCACTTCATAATACTAAAGGGATCAATACAACAAGAGGATATAACCCTGATAAACATATATGCACCCAATGCAGGAGCACCCACATACATAAGAAAACTCCTGGAAGACATCAGGGGAGAGATCGACAACAATACAATCATAGTAGGGGACTTTAATACACCACTGACATCACTGGATAAATCTGCTAGACAAAAAATCAGCAAAGAAACAGCAATCCTAAATGACTCACTAGATCAGATGGACTTAATTGACATCTTCAGAACACTTCACCCCAAAGCAACAAAATATACGTTCTTCTCAAGTGCTCATGGGACATCTTCAAAAATAGACCACATATTGGGTCACAAACAAAGTCTCCCCAAATTCAAGAAGATTGAAATCATACCAAGCATCTTCTCAGACCACAAGGGCATAATATTAGAAATAAACTACAATAAAAACAACCCAAAATACTCAAACACTTGGAAGCTGAATAGCATGTTATTAAATATTGATTGGGTTACCAATGAGATCAAAGAAGAAATTAAAAACATCCTGGAAACTAATGACAATGAAAACACAACAATCCAAAACCTTTGGGACACAATGAAAGCAGTCCTGAGAGGGAAGTTTATAGCTCTACAGGCCTACCTCAACAAACAAGAAAAAATGGTAGTAAATCATCTAAATCTACAGCTCAAAGAATTAGAAAGAGAGCAACAAGATAAGCCCAGAGTGAGCAGAAGGAAGGAGATAATAAAGATTAGAGCAGAAATAAATGACATAGAGACCAAAAAAACAATACAGAAAATCAATGAAACCAAGAGCTGGTTCTTTGAAAGGATAAACAAGATTGACAAACCTCTAGCCAGGCTCACCAAGAAGCAAAGAGAGAGGACCCAAATAAACCAAATCAGAAATGATAGAGGCGAAATAACAACAGACCCCACAGAAATACAAATGATTGTTAAACAATACTATGGACAGCTCTACTCCAACAAACTAGACAACCTGGAGGAAATGGACATATTCCTAGAAAAATACAACCTTCCAAAACTCAATCATTAAGAATCTACAAATTTCAATAGGCCCATAACTATGGAAGAAATTGAAGCGGTCATCAAAAAGCTGCCAGCAAACAAAAGCCCAGGGCCAGATGGCTTCACAGGGGAGTTTTCCAAACATTAAAGGAAGAACTAAAACCTATGTTCCTCAGACTATTCCAAAACATTCAAGAGGAAGGAAAACTGCCAAGCTCATTCTATGAAGCCAGCATCACCCTCATAGCAAAACCAGATAAAGAGAACACATTGAAAGAGAATTAAAAGCCAATATCCCTCATGAACATGCCAAAATACTCAACAAAATCTTAGCTAATAGGATCCTGCAGTACATCAGAAAGATCATACACGATTACCAAGTGGGATTTATCCCATGGATGCAAGGATGGCATAATATCCGCAAACCAATAAACGTGATACATCACATAAACAAATTGAGAGAAAAAAACACACATAGTCATATCAATTGATGCAGAAAATCATTTTCCAAAATCCAACACCCATTTTTGATAAAAACTCTCAGCAAGGTGGGAATAGAAGGATCATACCTCAACATAATAAAAGCCATATATGACAAACCCACAGCCAACATCATATTCAATGGGCAAAAAATAAAACCATTTCCCTTAAGAACAGGAACAAGACAGGGATGCCCACTCTCAACACTCCTGTTCAACATAGTACTGGAAATTTTAGCCAGTGTGATTAGACAAGAAGAAGAAATAAAAGGCATCCAAATTGGAAAAGAAGAAGTGAAACTGTCCTTTTTTGCAGATGACATGATATTATACATAAAAAACCCTAAAGACTCCATCAAAAAACTATTAGACTTAATGAATGAATTCAGCAATGTAGCAGGATACAAAATCAACCCCAAGAAATCTATGGAATTTCTATACAGCAATAGTGAGCTTACAGAAAGAGAGATTAAAAAAGCTATCCCATTTACCATCACACCAAAAAAATTAAGATACCTAAGAATAAACCTAACTAAAGAGGTAAAAGACCTCTACTCAGAAAATTACAGGACGTTGAAAAAAGAGGTAGAGAATACATAAACAGATGGAAGAACATACCATGTTCATGGATTGGTAGAATCAACATCATTAAAATGTCCATACTGCCCAAAGCAATCTATAAATTCAACGCACTTCCCATCAAAATACCAACGGCATATTTCACAGACCTAGAACGAACTCTCCAAAAATTCATCTGAACTCTCCAAAAATTCATTTGGAATAAAAAAAAGACCTTGAATAGACGCAGCAATCCTGAGAAAGAAGAACAAAGTAGATGGGATCTCAATACCTGATACAAAGCTGTATTACAAAGCCACTGATCTCAAAACTGCCTTATATTGGCACAAGAACAGACATATAGATCAATGCAATATAATAGAGAATCCAGAAATCAACCCGAACCATATGCTTAATTAATATTTGGCAAAGGAGGCAAGAACATACAATGGAGTCAAGACAGTCTCTTCAATAAATGGTGCTGGGAAAAATGGACAGATACATGCAAAAAAATTGAAACTAGACCACCAACTTACACCATACACAAAAATAAACTCGAAATGGATAAAGGACTTAAATATTTCCAGCTTTTTGAGGAAACTCCATACTGTCTTCCATAGTGGCTGCACCAGTCTGCATTCCCACCAGCAGTGCATGAGTGTTCCTTTTTCTCCACATCCTCTCCAGCACTTGTCGTTTGTTGATTTGTTGATGATAGCCATTCTGACAGGTGTGAGATGGTACCTCATTGTTGTTTTGATTTGCATCTCTCGGATGATTAGCGGCTTTGAGCATGTTTTCATATGTCTCTTGGCTTTCTGAATGTCCTCTTTTGAAAGGTGTCTATTTAGATCCTTTGCCCATTTTTTGATTGGATTGTTTATCTTCTTTTTGTTAAGTTGTATGAGTTCCCTATAAATTTTGGAGATTAGGCCCTTATCAGAAATCAACAAATGACAAGTGCTGGAGAGGATGTGGAGAAAAAGGAACACTTGTGCACTGCTGGTGGGAATGCAGACTGGTGCAGCCACTATGGAAGACAGTATGGAGTTTCCTCAAAAAACAAAACATGGAACTCCCATTTGACCCTGTGATCCCACTTCTAGGAATATATCCCAAGAAACCAGAAACACCAATCAGAAAGGATATATGCACCCATATGTTCATAGCAGCACAATTCACCATAGCTAAGATCTGGAAACAGCCTAAGTGCCCATCAGCAGATGAATGGATTAGAAAACTGTGGTACATCTACACAATGGAATACTATGCTGCTGTAAAAAAGAAGGAATTCTTACCATTTGCAACAGCATGGATGGAACTGGAGAGCATTATGCTAAGTGAAATAATCCAGTCAATGAAAGAAAAATGCCACATGATCTCACTCATTTATGCATAATAAAGACCATTACAAACTGATGAACAAAAAGATAGATACAAAAGCAGAGCAGCATCGAACAGACTGTCAAACTACAGCGGGAAGGCTGGTAAGAGATCAACTGAAGGACTTGTGTGCATGCATATAGGCATAACCAATGGACATAAGACACTGGGGGGTAGGGGAGGCCTGGGAAATGTCAAGGAGGAGGGGAAAGGAGTCGTATGTAATACTCTTTGTAATACTTTAAGCAATAAAAAAATTTTAAAAAATGGGCATCGGATCTAAAAAGAAAGTCAGAGAAAGATAAATATCATTTGATCTCACTCATTTATGGAACATAATGAACAACATAAACTGTTGAACAGAAACTGATATAGAGACAGAGAAGCATTGATCAGACCTTCAAACCTCAGAGGGAAGGCAGGGGAGAGTGGAGGTAAGGGAGAGAGGTCAACAAGAGGACTTATATGCAAGCATATAGGCCTAACCAATGAACACAGACAACAGGAGAATGAGGGCATTAGTGTGGTGGTGGGGGGGGTAGGGGGTAATGTGGGGATAAGAACACATATGTAATAACTTAATCAATAAAGAAAGTTAAAAAGAAAAAGAAAAAATACAATTAATAAAATGTATTACTGGATACATAGAAAATCAAAACTTTCAATTTTAATATCAGATCTGATACAAGAACATGTAACTATGGGTACCATTGTGAAAAATAAGTTGATATGCAGAAACAAATGATTACAGTGCAAAATGATTGTTGAATATAATTACTTAGAAGGTAGGGCAGGCACTAATCTAAATAACCTGTAATTTTCTTCAGTATATACTGAGGAGATATCACAATCTTACATTAGCAATGTATATATTACTTAAGTCTCTATGTATAGCATGTATCCCATAAACATATATATGTAGGCATCTATAATTTAGTAAACTTTAAAAGTCATTCCTTAGATAGTTGAATTATTCTTGATTAATTCCATTTTTAAATATTTACACTTGCAATATTTATAAATGTCATTTTTTTCTCCAGCCCTATTCTTAATGGTTATCCAGTTATTTGCATGTTGCCATATTCACTTTCTAAAACAAATGAGAAAAGAAATTCTGTGAATCAATAATCCTCCTGAATATCACTAAGGATTATAAAACACCTTTTAAGGGTCTTTAAGGATATAACTGATAAGTACTTCTCAGATGATCCTGAATATCTACACTAATAAAAGACAAAGATGTTAATTGACCGTACCTTTGCTACACCCAAGCCACACCCACCAGCCAATCAGAGCAACTATATGCAAATTAACGCAACCAAGATGGCGTCCGGCAGCCACTGAGCTGTAACAAGCAGGAGGCTTGGTTGCCCTGGCGAAGGAGGAAACCAAGCTTCCTGGGGCAGTTGTGGCCTCCGCAAAAGGCAACAAAGTTTCAATTATAGACGCTAAATAAATCCCAGATACCTGCTTCCAGCCAGCCTTCTCTGGGAGCATGGGTGGCTGGGGGCTGTGACCAGCCTGCAAACAGCCATCAACCCCTCACCCAGACTTGCCAGGCACCCCAGCGGGGACTCCCACCCTGAAGGGGCTGTGGCCAACCTGCAAACGGCCCTCAGCCCCTCATCCAGGCTGTCCAGGCACCCCAGCAAGACCCCCCTCCCTGAAGGGGGGGTGGCCAGTCTGAAAACGGCCCTCAGCCCCTCACCCAGGCTGGTCAGGCACCCCAATGGGACCCCCACCCTGATCCGGGACACCCTTCAGGGCAAACCAGCCAGCCCCCACCTATGCACCAGGCCTCTATCCTATATAATAAAAGGGTAATATGCAAATTGACCCTAACAGCAGAACGACTGGGAATCACTGGTCACTATGACACACACTGACCACCAGGGGGCAGACGCTCAATGCAGGAGCTGTCCCCTGGTGGTCAGTGCATTCCCAAGCCAGGCTGATGGCTGCCAGTACAGCAGTGGTGGTGGGAGCCTCTCCTACCTCCTCAGCAGCACTAAGGATGTCTGACTGCAGCTAGGCCTGCTCCCTGCTGGCAAGTGGACATCCCCGGAGGGCTCCTGGGTTTCCAGAGTGATGTCTGACTGTCAGCTTAGGCCCAATCCCCCGGGGAGCGGGCCTAAGCCAGCAGGTGGTCATCCCCCGAGGGGTCCCAGACCGTGAGAGGTCACAGGCTGGGCTGAGGAACCCTCCCGAGTGCACACTTTTTTGTGCACCGGGACTCTAGTATATCTATATATTCCAAAGGGAGGTCAGGCAAACTAGTTGGGTACCTTCTATATTTATTTCTTGAATAAGCAGACTATTCTTGCTATTCTCCACCATCTACTTGAATGTAGGATCCATGTATCCTGAACAGCTGATGGGTACTGCTATTGCGTCACTTTCAACATCATCCATTTCTTCTCTCCATGACTCTTCCTTTCTTTCTTTCTTTCTTTCTTTCTTTCTTTCTTTCTTTCTTTCTTCCTTTTTAATTGTTGACAGTATTACAGATGTTCCCTATTTTCCTCCCCTTTGCCCCCCTTAGAGATTCCCTTGAGTGTTCAGGGTTGCAACTATCATCCCCATTAATTACAGGCCTGAAGCTGAGTATGATAATTTGATCCCTAATTATGCTATTTTATCTTGACTCCTTTGGACCTTCCTCATTACTCTCTGCTAAAATTTCTTATTAAACCCTGGTCATACCAATCCCTTTCTCTAATTTTTTCTTACTAGTACATGTTATATGATGATGATACCATATCCTAAAAGCTTTTAGGATGAAGCACTAATAGGCTTTTCAAATACTAAGTAGTAATATCTGCACTTAGTACACCGCAATAACATTAATAACCACAAATTTGGCTCCCAGAATGCACAGACAAGAAAAGCAGCTTTCATTATGTGAAAGTGGAGTAGGTAACTCTTTGAACATGATTGAGGTCAATCGAATCTATTTATCTGGTAACATTACAGAAGCTTGTAAAGGAAATCAGAAATATATCAGCAAGTCAATAAACATTGTTATCATTTCAGAAAAATTTTTAAAGGCCAAAGAATCTTTGCTACTTTTAAGGTTTTAAAATATCAGCTATACATTCTGTGTTTTACATTTTCTTTTTTCTTTACTTTGCTCTATTTTTATTTGATTTTCTATTAAAGAGGTGTAGATAATTAAAGAAAATAATAGCAAACACCCATACTCATCAGATAAAAATAATAGAAAATATTCACATCAATTATGAATTTAAAGAAATAAAAGATTAGTGATACAGTTGAATTTGCCTAATTATTATTCTTCAATCCACTGCTATATCTTTTCTACTATCATAAAAAACCATGACTATAAAGTTGATATGCAGGGAGCAGTGGAGGCCAGGAGTTCACCCACACCAATCCCCAGACTGACCTTGGACACCACCCCTGGCCCTGTGCAGGGAGCTGCTTGCCAACCATAATCTGCATGGGACCACCACCATGCCCCAGTAATGAACAGTGCAGTAAAGTGCTGCGGATTCCCAGACATCTGCAGTGAGTGCACACCAGTGACACTTCCCAAGCTGTGCCTCCTTTTCAGAGCCCAGACCCAGTGTCCCAGTATCCTGCACTTCAGGTCCCCGTGTTGTGAGTACAATCCAGGGGTACCCCTGCCTCGTGCCATCCCCAGCCCCAGTACAGAGACAAAGACTGGCACTCCCTCTACCCCCAGCCCAGACAGAGCCATTGTCCAGTGCATATTCCACCACCAACCCAGGACAGATCTTCTGGTGCAACCTGGTTCACCCAGCCATAGGTCATAAGACCAGGCTGCAAGTGCACTATAAGAGGGACTTAGAGTGTCATCCTGCCTTGGGTTCCAGGGCCACACAATGAATTGCATGCCAGAGGGCTCTGGTGCCTCACAGGGAGTCGCACACCAGAGGAACTGTGCACATGTCACCACTGACCTTGATTATCTGAAGTGGACAACTGAGGGATCAGAGCCATGAGAGAAGGGGCTACAATTCAGAGCAGAGACAATAAAGGTGTGAAACTTAAGGCAGATCCAGCCTCCAGGCCAGTGAGTCCAAGACCATTGAACTTCTAGGGGCTTCAAACTCTCAGGTTCCAAAGAGGGTGCCCAGGGACAGAAAGAGACAACAAAAATGGAGATAGAGGGAACCAATCCTCAAAGGAAAGAAAAGGAGGAATTGCCAGAAAAGAAATGAAATGAAACAGAGACAAGGAATATGTAAGAAAAGGAATTCAGAGTAAAGATCATAAAGATGATAAACCATCTACTTAAGAAATTCACCAACCTATGAAAGAATTAAGAGGAAATGAAGAATGATATATCTGCAATAAAGAACACAATAGAAGGTTTCAACAGTAGAGTAGATTACAGCAGTCACCTACTTTTGGACCTCATGAACCACCAGTGGTCTGTGGACCACCAGTTGGTGACCAGTGGACTAGAAGAAGCAGATGATCAAATCAGTGAGTTAGAAGACAGGGTAGTAAAAAACAGACAATCTGAATAGCAATTGGAAAAAAATTATTAGAAAGCAGGAGGAGAGTTTAAGGGAGCTTTGGGACAACATGAAAAAAAGCAACATCAGTATAATAGGGGTGCGAGATGGACTAGAAGAGGAGCAAGGATTAGAACACCTAATTGAAGAAATAATGACAGAAAACTTCTTTGAATTTGGAGAGAAAGTCACACAAGCACAGAGAGTCCCAAACAAGATGAACTCCAAAAGACCTACACCAAAACACGTTGTAAAAATTAATGACAACAGAGAACCAAGATGGCGGCCTACAGGATGGCAAGCTGCAAGATAGTGTGTGAGTGAGAGAGCGAAAGGAGAGTGTGTGGACATGTGGGGAGTGTCTGTATTTGTGGATGATGGACAGTTATATTCCACAGGACTGTTGGGGACTAGTGGACAGGGGTCCCCTGGCTGGGCAGCCTCTACTACTGCTGAAATCTCTCCTGGAGCAACCGGCTTTATTGAAGAGACCAAGACATCTTGAAGGGGAGAGTGGCTGTGATCAGAAGCCCAGCCTTACCTTCAACCGGGGAGACTTTGCATACCTCCTGGGACCCTAAAACCATGACGCCCAGGGACCAGCTGCCTCAACTGAGAACCCACAAACACCAAGACTCCAGCCTCCCCAGCCAGACAGGCACCTAAAAAGTTTTTCCTGGGGGAGACAAGGTGGTGGCCGAATACATGGATGTGTCCTGCACCTTCTCACAGAGCAGATAGAAGGAAGAGCTGAATCAAATAACACCCACCCGGAATTGGTAAATTAAACACAGCTGGTGAGGCAATCCGTGGACAGAAAGGCCAGAGATCGCCTAGACCAGCGGTTCTCAAACTGTGGGTCGCAAACCCTTTGGCGGTCAAACGACCCTTTCACAGGGGTCACCTAAGACCATCCTGCATATCAGATATTTACATTATGATTCATAACAGTAGCAACATTACAGTTATGAAGTAGCAACGAAAATAATTTTATGGTTGGGTCACAACATGAGGAACTGTATTTTGTATATGTATCCCCATATACAAAACCTGGCCCTTTAAATACAGTGGTTCTCAACCTTCTGGCTCTTTAAATACAGTTCCTTATGTTATGACCCAACCATAAAATTATTTTCGTTGCTACTTCATAACTGTAATGTTGCTACTGTTATGAATCGTAATGTAAATATCTGATATGCAGGATAGTCTTAGGCGACCCCTGTGAAAGGGTCGTTCGACCACCAAAGGGGTCGCGACCCACAGGTTGAGAACCACTGCTCTA